GAAATTCATAACCTAAATAGCCCTCTATCTTTTAAAGAAATTGAACTTGTATTTAAAAGTTTTTCCACAAAGAAAACTCCAGGTTCATATAGCTTTGCTGATGAAATTTTAAAAATATTAAAGGAGGGAAAAAATGCCTACACTATGCAAAGTCATCCAGCATAAAGTCAACATCACTTTGATACCAAAATCAGACAAAAGTACTAGAAATAAAAAACAAAAACTATACTTTTCCATCTTTCAAGAAATTGAATGCAAATTATTTTAATAAAATTTTACAAAATCAAGGCACGATATACAAATGTTAAAAGATCATGGCTAAGTAGGGATGCAAGTTTGTTCTTAATTTGAAAAATATTCTGTGTAATTAATAAACATTTAAAAATATAGAATTATTTCAACAGATGCCGAAAAGAGTTTGAAAAAACATATTTTCATGTTACAACTTGCAGCAAAATAGGAATAGGAAAAAAGTCCTCAACCTAATAACAGGAATTTTAAAAACATATAGCTAACTCTATGTTTAATAGCAAAAACAGAGCATTTTCCACATAAGATCAGGAGAAGAGCAGGCATCCGTTCTCATGTCGTGACTGAAAGTAGGTGCAAGTCCAGCTGACTGTTAGTGCTGCTTGCTCAGCTGTGCTCAGCTCTTTGTGACCCCATGAACTGCAGCCCACCAGGCTTCTCTCTCCTTTTCCAGGCAAGGATACTGGAGTGGGTTGCCATTTCCTTCTCCAGACAAGTACAGCTGCTCACCCTCAAAATCCATTAAAGAGGCAAGGTTGGTGGAAAGGAAGGTTTGCTTTGTTAGGGATGCTGGCAATGCATGGGATGGGGCAGACAGACTCTTGTCCAAAGGCCAACTCTTCCCCCCACCCCACCCAACTGACAATCAGTGGGCAAGAGCTTCTATATGTGAAAGGAGGAGGCTACATGCAGAAACAGCACAGTCAGTTCTAACAGTCATCTTGAAAATGGTCATCAGAGGTCTAATCAGCATCACCTTGATTGTTTTAAGTACAATTAACCTTTAGTTCCAGGGTTGGTTTGTTCCCATTTCCTTGGGGCCGGTTCTCAAAACCGTGGCACCTTATGTCATGGCTACAGTCTGGTTATCGTGTAGTTAACTTCTTCCACCTAGCGGGGGTTTCAGTGTCTATAAAACAGGTCACAGGATATGGACCAGAATATAATCTATAGCCCTTGAAGAGGAAATAAAGGTCCTTGACTTTGCTTAACGACCAAACTATTACTGTTAACCTCCTCTGATTGCTCTCCTTTGTCTCTGCATTTTCTCACTCCTCTGATTAAACTTTGGTTAAAGGTTTTCCACAGACAAAAGGCAAGCAGCTCACACAGGGCCGGGAAGGACCGGAGGGTCCTGTTCTGTTTCAGGGTCCTGTGCTCCTCATTATTACAGGGATCTTCACAGTGAAACAGGATGAAAAGCAAAAAAGGCATGTGTGCTGGGGGCGGGGGGGGGAGGGGCAGAGGAAGCAAAACTCTTTTTACTTAAAAATAGCATACTATGTAGACAATTCTAAGAAATGTACAGAAAGATATTAGGGCTAATAAGTGGGTTTAGTAAGACCGTAGACTTAAGAGTAGCAACAAAAAATATCAGAAACTGAAAAAAATAAATTTGCAGTGTGTACTAGAAAGTATTAAAACAAAGAAGAGATAAATTTGAGAAAAGCTGTATTATTGTGTGTAGACAGAAAACTAGGAAACATTGCTGGCACGAAGTACAGACCTAAGTAAGTGGAGAGGTATACCATGTTCATGGACCAGAAGACTCAAGATTGTTAAGATATCATTTCCTCTCAAATTCATCATTTTATTAGCAAAAATCCAGTCAAAATCCTAGCATGCTTTTTTGTAGAAATTGACAAGTTGATTCTAAATTTATAAAGACACATGAAAGACCTAGAATAGTCAAAGCAATTTTTGAAGAAGAACAAAGTTGGAGATCTTATGCTACCTGAAATCAGCATTTATAGATCTGTAATCAAGATAGTGTTGAATCTGCATACAGGTAAATTATGAATGGATGGAACATAATAGAGTCCAGAAACAGGTCTACACATGTATGATCAACTGATTACAACAAAGGCACAAGAGCATTTCAATAAGGAAGGGATCATCTTCTCAACAAATGATGCAAGACAATAAACCTCCATTTCACCTCATGCCACGGTGCAAAGGCATCTTTAGTTGTAATCTGTAAAACTGAAATCTAGGAAACCCGTGAACAAAGACCGTGGTCCAGAGTTCCACACACAACCTGATCATTATTCATGTGTAAAGCAGGAAAGAATTTGTGTAACTTGTGTTGTAGTGGTCCATGTGTGAATTGGAAAAGAATTTCCAGACACAGACATAGAGTATTTCAGAAAGGAGTGAGTTTGTTGAGACCAAGGAGCAGAGATAATGTGGGCACTGCGAGCACATTGGGTTGGCCTCCCGACAGAGCAGGGAGAGTCGAAAGGATGCTGTCAGAAGAGCAGGTGACTCAAGCGAGAGCAGGCCTTCCTGGGTTAGTAGCCACTTAGAGCCTCACTCAGGTGGCTGAGTGGTGAAGCGTCTGCTTGCCAATGCAGGAAGCACAAGAGTCTAGGGTTTGATTCCTGGGTCAGGAAGATCCCTTGAAGGAGGAAATGGCAACCCACCCAGTATTCTTGCCAGGAAAATTACATGGATGGAGGAGGCTGGCAGGTTACTGTCCATGAGGTTGCAAAGTGTGAGACATGACTGAGCAACTGAGCACGCAGGCACGCACATTATAGCTTCAAGACAAAGAAACTTCCTACAGAAAGGGTGGCATCAGGTGACTAGGTTGGGGTTCTACAGGGTGAGGACTAGGGTGGGCGTTTTTGCCTAACACGGGGTCAAGAAGCCGGCTGGTGAGGATCGGTGGGGTCTCTTGGTGACTGTTCCAGTGGTGCTAGTTGTGCCGGAGGTGACCTCGGTTCTAGGCTCTGCCTCTGTGACCTTGTGATGGGACTCCACAGCGTGTGGTTTCAGAGACTTTTGTAAACTGCAGGGGGAAAACAAATCATGTAAGGAAATTCTTAACCTCAATTAAAAAACTGAATCAGAAATATGAAGTGTCAAGACAAAGTTGTAAGAGTTAAAATAGCATACCTTGTGATTGCAACTATTAATGTATGTTTATAATGTAGTTATGACTATAATCCAGTGGTTAAGAAACAACTGTAGAAGTAAATTAAAATGCTTTAATTAAAAAATACCTGGAATAGCATTCCACTTTACATCAACACAAACTGGGAAGAACAGGAGAACATCTGTGTAAAAGAGCTCTAAATGTGGCAGAGGAGAGAGGGATGGGAATAAAGTGTGAATTTTAGCATTGAGAAAAAAGTATAAGTATAAATGTGACTTCAACAAATGTGGAAACAACACCTAGAGGGTAATCACAGAGTAGAATCTCTACAAATTGCCGTCCAGGGTGGTAACTGTACAATCTGTAAATGATGGCATCATGGACTCCAGGTATTTAGCAACATGATAGCAAAATATAAAAGGCAAAGTCTCTAACAAAGATTCTCCAAGGAGAAGGTGATGAACTATAATGATGTGAGGAAATTGTAGCACCTCCGTGGAATTTCAATGAATAATTCAGTGATCACAAGTACACACGCATACACATTTAATTCTGAATGACAATGAAAGCATTTGATTCAATAGAGATTAACATATTAAAACCTTTGCATTTCGTAGACACAATATTTTTATTTTACTTATACACTAATACTAATCATATGGACCATCATGGTGAATTTCTGTAAGTATAAAGACTATGGGCCGCATTCATCACAATGCAATGACACAAGTCAGTAATAAAAACAGGACCAAACACGTCTACGTAAGACAGGGGAGAAACCTCCTTAATACCTCTTGGGCCAAATTGGACTGAAATCTGAGATAGAAAATTATTTAGAAACCAATTAGAGTCAGAAAATTTCACTCAAAGCTTATAAATTATGGCTAAAGTCATACTCAGAGGAAAAATTACAGCCTTGAATGTCTTCACTATTCAGTTAAGACATTCAATGTGGGTACATAATTACATACACTTAAATTTAAGAAAAAAGGCAAGATATAAAACATGTATTTACCAGATTAGTGCCTTATTTAAACATTAAAAACAACAGGACACATGAAATAAAAGGATGTGATGCAATAAAATTTTATCAGCAACTATATTTAAGTGATAGAATTTCTGTAAGCGAATTCTTTTTTTCCTGAAAATTCTATAATGTACTTATGCATTATGTAGAATATTTATATTTAAAATAAATTTAAAATTTCTATACATTATCTATCAATTACATAATGCTGGCCAGTTATCATTTTAGAGTTATTTTAAAAACAAACATGTCAAATAATGACGATGTTAAGTTAAATCCCTAAGGTAATAAAGAGGTGAGTGTTCTTGGAATTAGGAAAAACTTCTTGAACACTTCCATTTCTTCTATTATAACAGAAAAATAATAAAATTGGGCCTTGTTTCTATTCATTCACTAGTTTTATGTTTGAGTGAGATACTTGAAAACATTAAGTTGTCATTTGTCTTTAAGTCCATCTGTATGTGTGTGCGTATGTATATACACGTGTGTGTGCATGCTAAGTCGCTTCAGTCATGTCCGACTCTTTGCAACCCAATGGATCATAGCCCACCAGGTTTCTCTGTCCATGGGCTTCTCCAGGCAAAAATACTGGAGCGGGCTGCCGTGCCCTCCTCCAGGGGGCCTTCCCGACCCAGGGACTGGGCCCTCGTCTCTTCTGTCTCCTGTATTGGCACATAGATTCTTTGCTACTACCACCACCTGGGAAGCCCATATATATATACACTTTTTGAACATATATAGTTTTTGCTTCTGAGCAATTCCTGCTGTGTTTGTGCCATTACCAAAGGTAGCATCCACATCTTTCCTTCTTTGAAATTTGGCCTGTGCACTCATTTCTTTTTACAGGTAGTTATTGAGATCAGCCGTGTGTCTGACGCTGACAACGCCCACCGCAGCAGGGTGGTCAGCAAGCTGCCACAGTTTTCCAGGTGAGCAACTGCCCGGGGCAGCACCCTCTGGACTCCGGGGACCAGGGTCCTCCTTGCAGTTCAGGCCCTGTGGTGGCAGCTGACCTAGAAAGGCCAGTGTCGCTGGCACAGGTCTTCTCTTCTGTTTCTAGTAGCTTTTGCCAGGCCGCAACACTCCCGGCGGTGATGGCTGCAGGCAGACAGGCCATCCCCAAGGTGGCATCACTGGTCTCTGAGGCCCATTATCCTGTTTCCCACTGGGGACTCACCCAGGGAGCACCATGACACTTCCACTGGCATCATTCCGATAGCAGGTCTCTCTCTGGCCAGTATTCCTGCAACCTCAGATTTCTAAACCCATTACCAGCGAGAACTACAGCCAAGTCTGCAGAGTGTAGACTTGAGAATTGTTCTAGTGTGCTTTCTAATTGTGCTTTGTTCTAATGTAGACCTTCCTACATGGTGAATCTACCCCTAGACCAAGCTCACTTAAACTAAGTGAGGGTCACTGGTGCCTTGGGCTGGTTGGTGACCAGAATTTGGCAGCCTAGAGGGACACACAGGCTCCACCCAAGCCAGGATCCTGGCCAGTGAAACTGGCCTTGGTCACCTCCTGGCCAACTGACACCAGCTCGCAGTTCAGGGCGCTGGGTTGCCGTCTCCATAGCCTTATCCAAGTCCTGCAGGTGTCTGGCATGGTGTTTGCGGGGGCATTTCATGGCTGCAGGTGTGGAAGAGAAAACTTTCCCCACCTCTCCTGTCACTGGGGGCCTGACATCTTGCTCAATTAGCTCCCCATCCCAACTCTTCACTAGAAGGAATGATGTTGAAGCTGAAGCTCCAATCCTTTGGCCACCTGATGAGAAGAACTGACTCATTAGAAAAGACCCTGATGCTGGGAAAGACTGAAGGCAGGAGGAGAAGGGGATGACAGAGGATGAGATGGTTGGATGGCATCACCAACTCAATGGATACGAGTTTGAGCAAACTCCAGGAGATGGTGATGGACAGGGAGGCCTGGCGTGCTGCAGTCCCTGGGGTCACCAAGGGTCAGACACGGCTGAGCGACTGAACAACAGCAACCCCCCACAGTCATGCAGCTGAGGGAGCTTTCATGGCCCTCCCAGAATGAGAAGACCTGAATGGTCGTGATGAATCAGCCTCAGGACCGGTACTTTGGGCGCTGGTCTGGGTGGCACATTTGGGAGGGGGAGGAGCCAGGCTTGTGACTCTAGGAGCAGAGTTTTGACCCCTGCCCCCCCGACTGGCCGTGGAGTCTGGGGTCAGCAAAGCCTGCATCCTGGACCTCCCTGGGTACCATTGCTGGGTCCCTGGAGGCTCCTTCAGGCCCTGAAGCGGCAGGTCTGAGACCGAGCACCCAGGACGTTCAGACAGCAGCAGGGAGCACGGCGCCCCGGGACATCTCCAGGGCAGGGCCCCAGGGCTGAGTCCTGCTGCGGGGAGCCTCACACCTGCTCCCGGAGCCTCGTCCTCACTGCTGGACCGGATGGAACACATCCACTTGGGAGGAAGCAGATTCATACCAGGAGTGAGGCCAGGGTGTGTTGAGTGAGGAGGGAGAGCAAATGAGGCAAGAGGAGCAGCTCCAAGTTCAAGGCCAGCAAACAGCAAGAGATGAGCCCTGGTCCAGAGGCCATCTTCACATCTGGCGCCCAGCCTCGTTTCAGCAGGGAAAGCCCTCCTCTAGCTTCCTAGAGCTGGGCAGGGTCCAGCTTGTCAGAGCAGACAGAATCCAGATGAGGGGGCTCCGCCGAGACAGGAAGACATTTGCCTCCCGCAGCATCAGCCCACCCTTTCTGCACATGTCCCGACCACGGCATGCCCGTGGCCTTCTCCCTGCAGCCCCACGATGCTGGCCACGCTTCCTACCATCCTGGGAGTGTGTTCATGGGCCAGGGCTGCAAGCTCCCTTGAGCCCCCTCGAGCTACTGGAGGACTGGGAAGGTGGAGAGGGAGCCCTCTTCGCGAGAGAGTCCTGCCTTCCTGCCTCCCTGGAGGTCAGCGGGCATGGATGCCAAGGCTTTGAATAACATCATAATATGGTAACGGAGCTTCTCAGTTGTGTCTGACTCTTTGCGGCCCCATGGACTGTAGCCCTCCAGGCTCCTCTGTCCACGGGATTTCCCAGGCAAGACTATTGGAGTGGGTTGCCATTTCCTTCTCTGGGGGATCTTCCTGACCCTGAGATCAAATGCAGGTCTTCTGCACTGCATGTGAATTTCTTACCATCTGAGCCACCAGGGGTGTGGAGGCTTTGATCTTCTGTGATCTGCCTGCGGAGGCAGGAGAGGTGGAAGGCTGGTCACTTTCCCTGAAGGGTGTCTTGCATTGAGAGTGGATTTTCAGGGGTGGTATCTTGGATGTTTATAACCCTTGCTCTCTCTCTCTCTCTCTCCCTGATGAGGGCGTCCCTCTGAACTAGATGATAACAGAGCTCACCCTGAGGATCCGCCAATGATGAGAGAGGATGGAAGCCACCCTGTCATGACACCTGAGCTGGGTCAGCCAGCCGCCTTGTCACTGTGTCAGTGTCTTGAAAACATATCCTCTTGAAATAGATCCCGTGTTCTCCATATCAGATCGGGTGTATTGCTGCCTTGTTTATCTCATCACTCAGACAAAAGGCGGACTGTAGACTCATTGGAGGGACAGGTTCCAGGCTTCAGAAAGAAGGACCTGTTGTCAGTGCTTCCCAAACGCTCAGGTGTACATCATGGCTGTATCTTCCAGGCAACCATTCCTCCAGACAGGGCTTTCCCAGTGGCTCAGAGATAAAAGAATCCCCTTGCTAATGAGGAAGATGCAGGAGACTCAGGTTCAGTCCCTGAGTCAGGAAGATCCCCTGGAGGAAGAAATGCCAAGCCACTCCAGTCTTCTTGCCTGGAGAATCCCATGGAAGGAGGAGCCTGGTGGGCTGCAGTCCACGGGGTCGCAGAGTCGGACATGACTGAGCACGCACGCAGCCACAGCATTCCTCCCCACAAGTTCCAACCCCTTCCTCAACATTTTCCTTCAGGCGAATGTGAAATTTGCTGAGCAAAATGGACCCTAAACAGCAGACCCCAGACGGGCCTGCCTGCTTCTGCAGGTGGCAAAGGTCAGAAGTATGCATCCATTAAGGGAGACTGTCATTTTGTGAGAAGCCAGAGGGGCTCAGACGCAAGCATGTTTATGCACCGGGAAAGGGGTCACCCCGTCCCCCTCGCCGAGACAGAGCGGGCTTGGCCTCCCCTGGCCGGTGCTGGGGCTGCAATGGGGCCATCGGCCACCCCCGCCGCCTGGCCCGTCTGTGCTGGCAGCGGGCCTCACTGCAGAACTCTCTCCCTTCGACATAAACAAACAGGCAAGTGAAATCTTATTGCAACTGGTAGAAGATAGGATTTCAAAAGGTCTGAGAATAGGATTAACGTACTGTTACGATGTTCCACTCCGATTTAAACAATGTTGAGTTCTTATGAGGATTCCTCCTGAACTATCCAGTTTACATGTAGTACAAACCCCAACTGAGACTTTTTAAAGAGCAACAGCAACTTGCCATTTGCTCAGAGTCCTTTCTTATTAACCAACAAGAACGATCAGGAATTATTTCAGGTAACTTTAATCTCTGTGCTTGGATACACATATTTCATTTTCCTGTGTCAACAAGTACAGGCTGATGTTCTGAGCAGATTTCCATATGCTAATTTACCTATTTCCCTTTCTGAAAGACTATAGCTTCCTGACGGTTAATTCCGGCTGACAGGGAATGGTTGTGCTTTTCATTCTCTGCAAAATAGTGTATTGTTGCAAAGTGATTTATAATAAACAGTATCTAGGAGAGAACCACATGCTGATTGTTTTTGACAACAAAAAATGCATGATTAATGAAATAATAACGTTGGCAGCATCTTAGAAGCAAGCTGATTTGCAGAGTTTACTTTTCTTTCAGAACCAAGAGCCGTACTTTCTATCTGGAGCTTCTCGAGGTGGATGATCCTGGCAGAGAAGAATGTGGAACCGCGTCCGTGCTGTGCACAGTTCAGATTGCCCACAGTGAATGTGGAGGGATTGTTTTTCCCTGAGATCACAGCTGAAGCTGTATTTTGTTATTTTTCAGCTTCACTTAGTTCATTTAACCTTGGTTATCATCGAATCTATACCTAATATTGGGCATTTTAAAAAAGACACGTCTATTTCTAGAACCATAAGTGGAAGGAACAGTCAGTACTTAATGCATGGATTCCATCCTTAGTTCCAAATTACAGTAAATGTAAGAACGGAAGAGTTAAAAGAAAGAAAAAAAAAAACATCAAAAATGAAACTCCACCCTAAATCAATGCGTGTGACGGGCTCGGGGCGGGTGGGAGCGGAGATCCAGTCCTCCATCCCAACACAATCCATAGCTTCACAATGCAAACACAGTTGTACAAGGCTCCAGATTTGACTGGATTTGGTAGTAAACTATTCTACGTTTCAGGCTTACTAATTCAACGAAGTATATTTGACTTCATCTTTTCACTCCAACTTTTCTACTTACCTCACTGAAACATCGGCTCTTCCAGTGGAATCATGAGTCTTCTTTGAAAGGACTGGCCTCTATTGTCATCGGCTCCTGTATTAATTGTGGTCTGAACTTTATTGAATTTACACAAGTGCTTTGCTGGATCGTCTCCAAACACTAACAGGCAAATGAAATTAAATAAAAAGGGCCAGCTCTATTTAAGAGCATCGTGTAAGTGCTTTGGAGACTGGGCATAATTAAAGAGGCTGTAAACTAAGACGCCAAGTGCAAATGTCACTCTTACCTGAGCGTGCCCTGCGTACGGGGGGACACGAGCGGAATTCATCACGGAACGGGACATCCGCAGCCGGAACGCATGGCTCTTTAACGGAAGGTGGGCTTCCAAGCAAGGCTGAGCAGATGTCTGGAGAATTCTGAGTGTGCCTGTCAGGGCTGTGGAGCGAGACTTACTCTTCCCCTCGCAAGGAGACCTTCCAGCTGGACACAAGGAGCCTGGGAC